TGTCATATATATCAAACAATTGGGCCCAGCTGTTTGCACCTCCGTGTTGCATGCCAAGTATCCGAAGGATATGCATTGCTTTGAACAGGTGACTGTAAAGATGTTTCACTGAGAATGTTAAGATGACACAATGTGACCCGCCAGTACCTGCGCAGATCATGCAGGCTCAACTGTGTGGTGTGCATGTACATGGTGAGGAAGAAGGAAAACACTAAAACACAACATGTACACAGTTTTCTTTCTTTTCAAATGCGGCGCTTCATGAACCGCAAGCGCCATTGCAGCAATGAAGTCGTCAACACCATTTTGGATGAGATGCTACAACGCCAGGAAAAGGTTGATGAAGCAGTCTGGTGGACTCTTTCACGTGAGCGAATGCACACATATACATTAGGCACTTTGATTTAACATTGTCATGTTTTTGATAAGTCTGTGGAATTTGGCAATTTGTTGAGAGAACCAAGGCACTCTTTGGCCACATGATGGAACGTTCCCTCACGGCAAGTATGAGATGCTCTTACAAATCGTGAATAAGGATCAAGAACGACCTTGGTTGCAGAACATAGACTTCAACAGGGTTGACAAGACACCTGGATGGGTACGGGTCAGCCCATACGACTATGAGAGCCAACAGCTTCTGCAAGGGATCAGGGTACAATATATTGAAGAAATTTGGATTCAATTTTCTGAGATGGCAAGTGTTTTGTTGGCAGCATATGGTTTCTACTGTTAAAGCAAGCAATGCCATCAACAAACAGTTGGTTTTGCAAGTGCCACAGCCAAGGGCACTTCACAGGATCAACATCCATTGTTCGATGGCATAGATGTGTGGTACACGAAGTGGCATGATGGCAAAAAATGGATGATAGCCTCTATGTACACGGTGGACAAAACAATCAAACTCAAGTACTTCCGCTTGAGTCCCCCAGAGTACTATGAGAATCAGGCACAACAATGGTATATGGAGAACCTCGGCAAACAAATGCACCAAATGGAAATTGAAAGTTAACAGAAAGTATTTTTCAACTTGTGTCAGAATCAGCCAAGGAATGTTGACTTCATCAACTTCCTACCCCCTGGAAGAGTCAAGTCCGCTGCGTTTGCTACGATTTCCCGCCGGATTTCCTGCCTGGCCCGAAGCGTGTCCGTTCATCCACTCCTCATGTTCCTCCTGTGGGTTTCAATGGCAATGCTGAGCAGTCTGATGATGGGAAGCAGACTGATGATGCTGAGCAGGCCCTTTGGTGTTTGGGGACAAGTCTGAGTTTTGTAGGGAAAAAAGTTTTTGAAGAAACCATCTGAAGAGGTGAAAGCCAAGAAGCCACGCTTGCAAATCAATGCTGGTATGAGTCCTACAACCAAAGCCAAGATTGAGGAGGAACGCCTGGATCGCAAAAGGGCAGCATCCCGTGAGTGGCACCGTCAATATCAGAAGAAGGGTGTTTCTTGGCTTATTTGATTGAATCAAATGAAAATTAACAAAAAACAAATTGTTTTTTTCTGAAATCATATTTTCCTGATGGAACTTCAGTCGAGGTTCCCAGAGGATCAAAACCTTCAGCCAGTGGTGAACAGCCTGAACAGCCTGTTCCACGTGAATCTGCGAGTTCGAGTGGTTCTGGCAAGAAGATGTCCCCAGCCCACAATGCTCGTTGGGATTTTGTTGCTTTGTTCACATTCAACACTGGATATTTTTTCTTTGTTTTTTTGTAGAACCACCAGTTGTGTTTTTACTTTCATGTGCAAATTTTGGAGCACAAGGTTCGCCGTTACATCAATGAACATGGCAAAGATTTGAAGGCTGCCCATGCAGCCTGGATGACGTCAAATGAACGTGCTGCATTCCAAGCAGCTGAGAAAGGGCTGCAGCTGTAAAGCTCTGTGTGTGTAAAGCTGGTTCTGATGCAATTTGGAAATTACTTGTGACCACGGCAAGCGTCTGTGGTGGATGGACATGATATTTGGGGTGGGGAGAAAAATGAAAGACTTGCGCAATGATTGTGTATGTAGATGACAGTGTGTCGAAAGAGTGCTTGAAACAAATGAAGTTTCATTCCCTCCCCGAAAATAAGTTTTGGTGCTTTGCAAATCTATTTTCTCCATCATTATTGCTAAATAAATAGTCCCATCATTTTTCCTTCCTTGTCTATACAGCGGACCTGTTTCTACCTTTCGGTTTTTATTGTACTCCGTTTGCGGCACAACATTCTTTATCATAACACAACAAAGATATGCCCTATGTGCAGCACAAACCTTTGACAGAATAAATGCAATATTCACACTGCCAATGTTCCATTTGCTACACAAAGCTTTGGCAGAATCAATGCAACAAGCCCATGTGCAGTGCAAAGCTTTGGCAGAATCAATGCAACAAGCACATGTGCAGTGCAAAGCTTTGGCAGAATCAATGCAATTTGCAGTGCAATGCTTTGGCAGAATCAATGCAATTGTCCCATGTGTGGCGCACAATTTTTGGTAGTGGAGCATGCTTTGCTCATGATGATCTTCCCATCATAGACAGCTGATCAAAATGAATAGACAGCTAGTTGCCATGAATTTAATTTTTAATCCCAATGGAACTGCGCAGCAAACTGCGGATCTCAGAAAACGCTGCACCTGCGCAGTGAAATCATCCTCCACACTTCAGCATCTTACATTTCCACACGATTCCTCGCTATTTCACACGAATCTGACACGTCACGTTTCCATCCGAAACCTACTCCAAAAGCTTCCCCCAATGGCCTCGAACGCGACGACGACGACAAACGACAAGAGACGACGACAAACGACGACAGACGACGACACGACGCAAGCCACGCAAACACAGCTCCAACCCCCAGACCCCCAACTATAAACGGGAACCCTTCGCTACGCATTCGGGAACAAAAGACAATTCCCCCACCAGAGACAGAAAAACAACATCTATTGACAACACACGCAGTGCACCAGTTGGTGACGTTTTGAGGCCGACGCTAAACCACCATTGCGCGCAGACCACCGTTGCCGTTCAGCACCGCTTTTGTGGGACGCCCCTGCACTCCTGAAGATTCTTTCACATCGAAGTGAAACAGCATTGTCCCTCCAGAAGACGAGACAATGCGACCGGTCCAAGATCAGCGGCGCACACCTCTTCTGCAAACATTTTTGGATCTGAACTGAAAATCGTGGCCTAGGCCTCCAAGTACCTTCTGAGGTGGGTTTGGAGGGTCCAGTCATACCTTCTGAAGAGGTACTTGGAGGTGTAGGGTGAGGACATATGGGGACCGCCACGGGGACATATGCACCACGCACCACGACTCTCGGACGATGAAGTGCCTGGATTCGCCCCACACATCCGAGCACGGACGTGCGAAGGAAACAAGAACCAGAATGCCGCTGGCTGCCTAAAAAACCATGGTAGTCAGATTGTCCCTTCCTACAATCCCCCCATACAAAAAATAAGATCCCACACATAAAAAAGGATCCAAACACACAAACACATTCAACGTTCAGCCGTTGGAACCGACCCCTTTGATCCAACATCGTTTCACTGACCGGCCCGTCTCGTCTCGTCTCCTCTCATCGAGCCGATCCCGTCGCGATGCCGCAAGGCCGTCTCTCAAGGCGCTCCGCTAGAGATGAGGAAGACATGTCATTGACGTCCAAAGCATTACCCAATACAATTCATGTGTCATAATAATACATGTGTACCCAGTTTGCAAACCAAGTTCAGAAAAGATATGTACAAAACATTCGACGTGTACGAAACACCTCAATGTACATTCGTGAAACGAACATGAAACACAGCAAACATGTCTTCACGACACACACCGCCCTTGCCATAGCAATATCAGGCCTTGAGCTCTGCATCGCGCGGTCGGCCAACCCTGTCTTCAGTGTCGGCGACCCTTTCTGGGCCGCCTCGCGTCAAAAAGAAATCACGTCCTGGGCGGCTGTGAAGGTTGAGGGAACACAAGTCATGATGATCAAACTTCAAGATTGATATGGGTCCATTTTTCTTGTAGGAAGAGCTGCCTACACAATGGTGGCAATTTGAATGACCCTCGAGTTTCTGCAGTTGTCTGGAACATCCCAGGGCGGAAATACTTTCCATCTTGGTTTTTGTCCAACGTGATTGCTTTGTGCACCGGACTTCATGAAAAAATCATGGAGGAGAGTGCCTGAATCAACGCAAAGTGAAATGTTTTTCGTATTCCATCTTTACCCCGCCCGATCCCAGCGGAATCTGTCGACTGTTTCCGCGAACCTTGGGCCGTGACTGCTGGCGCTGTCCAGTGCTTCGAACTGAAGCACACCTAGGGAACAAACAAAAAGCCATCCCATCGACCAATTTCCTGTCCAAAACTCATCCACCCAACGCATTTCTGGATCTCAATCGAACACCACTGGCCGGGACTCAGGTCTCCGTCATCTCCTGCTGCTCGCGCCACGGTGGTCATCAGCAAGGCACCACTGGCACAGCGCAGCGATCAACACGCCGCACGCCTATTTCACCGCAAGAGTTCAGTGTGTCTCTTCAACAAACTCCTTGCACCGGGGCACATGCCTGGTCCAATAACAAAATTTGGTGAACAAACTGCTCTCCAAGAGCTTGTGTGTGCCGCCAGCCAGTTTGAAGTTCCTCGATGTCCTGCGGTCGGCGGCGCCGGGCAGCAGCCCTTATCGTTCCAACGTCAAGCTGATTGCAGTTTCATTGTCCCTTTGCAGTGGTGGGTGCATGCTCGATGGTGCTGCTGCAAACGCTCCCAGAAGGCGCAGCACTTCATTCGACTTGGGCACTTTGCAGCTTGGTCTCCAAGTCCGTGGCGGCCTCAGCTTCATGGGCCATATGATGAACCTCCCAAATGGCCCCGCACTTGAGACATTCCTTGAAAAAACACACCCCATCAGCCAATTTCAATGAGGTTGGGGTTGGAATCCAAAAGCAGAACAGGTGAAACACAACAGAAGGCTTACAGACAAGCCGCGTGGAAAGACTGTCTGCGTGCTCGCAGCTTCCTTCAAAGCTCAGCATCTGCATCTCCTGGGGTCAGCGGCACTGGGCTGCAGCCCTTTTTGCGCGTGGGCGGGCTTCCCACCAACTGCCAAAGTGTTGCTTCATTGGGCGACCGCTCACTGTATACGGACGGCCCGCTCATCAAGCCAATGCCTTGTGATTCAAGCTGTGATGTCTGGATGTCTGGGTGAGCGCACATATTTAGGAGGTAGCATCTTTCAGAGAATTTGCCACACGCATTGGCAAAAGAGGCCCTCTTCACCTGCTGCACCAATAATTCCAGCGGGGCGAAGAATCTGAGCAAGAAAGGGTTAACCAACACTTTCAATGCTGCGAACGAGTTAAGCTTGGACCGAATCTCCAGCAAAACCACTTCTCGGAAAAGGCCTCGTTGCAGAGAGGACCTGCAAAAACACCTTTTCAAATCACTGAGCCTGCGACCACCACCTTGACCACGATCATTCGCCACCACAACCACCACTAAATCACCACCACTGCGCATTTCTCGGAACCTTGGTGGATGTACTGCCAGTAACACACTCACCATGGCGTTTCAAGTTGACTACCCTACACCGCCAACGCAAAATGTTTCCAAGTCAACTGAGGTGACAGCAAAACCAACCTAGTTGAAGCGCTTCCGAAAGTCTAAGTAGAACAAGAAGTCATATACCTCCCAGATGATGTGTAGTGCAAGGAGCGGAGCTTGCCAAAACCGCAGATCCATGGCGTGGCTGTTCGCCATCACCTCACTTGCGAAGTCTGTGTATTTTGGACTTGTAAGTGCTTTGAAAAAGCACCACCAACACCTCCGGCAGCAAAACCACTTCCAGTCCAAGTTGCCTTCGTTCTGCGAGAAGAGAATATTGTGGCCATGGAAAGTCCAGCGCTTTGCGGGGTGCGTTGTTGAAGACATCGTTGATCTCCTGGCTGTTGGACATCATCAGAGCGCATGTGCACAGTACATACAAATTGTTCAAGCAGTGTAGCCCGACCGATCAGCATCTAAATCTTGCCTGTAGGTTGCCCGGAGCTGCAGTTCATGCACAGAAAACACGTGGGCGTGGCCAGGCATTTTTGCGTTTGATTGAATCCGTAAATGTTTCTCAAGCTGGGCCTCCACAGGCGCAACTTCGTGGACATGTAGGTGGCTGGTATTAGTGTGGATCTTCGCGTGGTAGCCACGTGCACCCACGGTTGTTTCTGCATTCGATTGTTCAAAGTATCATGAGCAAGTGCACGAAGCTCCTTGCCACACAAGCTTTGCAGAGCTCAAGGCTTGCAACATTGCTCCGCTACCACAGCCAAGTCACGCTTTTGCGGCTTGCAGCAAGCTCTGCCTATGCATTTCACAGCAAGGATAGGTCGAATACCTCTGGGCCGGCCTTTCTGCAAGGCGCTGGAGGCCGCCGGTGAAGGAATCTGCCGCGCATCGGGCCCAGTCAGCCTCAGGGTTCATCCTTGCAGACACGGAGTTGCAACCTGTTCTCACAAGCAGGCGCATTGCAATGACAACGAAAGCGCCTGGCGAAGCAGCGCGCATAGCGTCCGGACCGCGCCCAGGCCCTGCAATCCGCCGGCGCACAGGCCCTGGCGCGCAGGCCCCCAGCACACCTGACAAAGGGCAAAAAGGAAGAGCCCATGACAGAAGAATAAGGAGGCTCATTCTGCTTAGTTCTTTGGTTCTGCATTGGGTGAGAGCGTCGTCTGCATATAGCATAGGGTATGAACCATAATGCCAGAACGCAATCTCAAACTCCTAAATGCCCTTTGGTTGCATATAAGCACCCATGCAAGGAACCCTTTGATCCCAATTGTGAACAGAACAGAACATTCGGTTGACTGTTAACCGTGTTAGGTCCTGGTTATCTTTCTGCTGAGCCGGGGGACAATTTCAACCTTGGAAGCGCTTCAGCCCTGTGGATCCCTCCCTTAAACCACGCTCTCATTCCTTGGACACCCATCGGATTCCGGGCAATGAAGATGGATATAGCTTATAAGTGCTGCTCAGACTGATGGGGCCACGCTGGTTCTTTTGAGGGCCACTGAGGTCTCCACAAGGAAGCGTCTGTTTCTACAGCGCCACCATTCGCGCTCTGCTCCACTCTCAAGGTAAGGGGGCTCCGGCGCAGGCAGGCCACCTGCCGATGATCAAGTCAAGAAGCATCGAAGCAAACGCGCCACTTTGAAGGAACAAGGGCTGCTTCTGAGCAACAACAGCGAACAAACAGAAGAAAAGAGAAAGAGTCTCAGAGAGAGACAGAGAGAGGGAGAGGGAGCGAGGGAGACGAGAGAGGGAAAAGGCAAGGGAAAGAGAGAAACAGAAAGAAGCCACACATTAGTCGGCCGGCTGAAGTGATAGAGCATGGGGCTCGGATTGAGATTGGAGAGTCCACTGCTTGGATCGAAGCCAGCTGCAAGGGACAAAGAGACAAGTATATTAATAGAGAGAGAAAGCCAAAGCGGAAAGAAAGAAGCAAGGCAAGAAAGAAAGAAGACACATTCTTGAAATGAGCACTTGTGCCCCTGGCCAGCGCAGGCTGCAGCGGCTGGAGCAAACCTGAGAAACAAAGCAGGAGTGCATTTGTCAGGCGTGCCTGCCCGCGCAGCCCAGCAGCTGCCCAGCTGCGCCCAGCTGCGCCAAAAGCCATGTCGCCTAAGGAATGCCTTGTGACCTTGTGCTTTCCATTTTTGTATGCTCATGTGTCTTGACCTTGTAAAGTCAAGGGTGATCGGGATAAAGATTCTCCGACAGGGTGTGGGCACCGTCGGCGGCCATGAGCACCAGTGGCTGCGAGCATGTCATCAGTGGCTGTTGCAACAAGCAGCGATATACAGATACGCTTCTGGCACTTCTGATGTTGCGGTGTTCACTTTTCCGCCGCCAAACGGGCCTAGACTGTTACTCTTCCAGGCCCGTGTTGGGGCACCGACGGCGCTCAGATCCTTGGTGACTGCAGTCCCGGTCAGACCCGAGAGAGATCGCATAGTCGTGGCCCAATCATATGCTCTGCAGTCGAGAGACGCCACGCCAGGAAGCGCCGGTGACCACAGATCATCTTAGCGGACTCCGACCGATCTCCGCTCGTCTCCGATCTCGTCTCGTCGAGACGGAGGCCGCACTTCCTTCTGCGTTTCTTCTCCCGGTTGGGCCAAAAAAAGGACACGGCGTGTGGGAGGGACACGCCGTCGACGGAAAAACCACTCCGACCGCCGTCGACCGCCGCGCGTCGACCGCCGCGTCGACTGCCACGACACCCTCGCTGTCGGTGGAGACGTCCACCCAGCGACGACGGCTATCCTGAGTCGGAAGCGCGTGAAAGCGGGACGTCGACCGTTTGGGTCCCAGCAAAGGACCCAAAAACACAAGCTAGCATGCAATTTCATGGAAAGTGGATGGATGTGGTGATGGAGGGTGATTGGGTTCCCCCAAATCGAGGCCCCAATTCTTCCACTTCGCATCAAAGCCACCACAGGTGCCACAGGCACAGGCGTCACGGGCACCGGCAACGCATCACCAGCCTCCGTGGGGACGTCCGGACGGTACTGAGAACTGACACTACCTAGGAGTGTCCGATCGCTCCTATATAGTAGCGATGCCCTTTGTTCCTAGTAGCTTGTTGTTCCCAGCAGTAAGGCCAGGAGCTACCAGTAGCTCCTTGTTACTACGAGCGATATCCTCCAACCTACAAGCGATGGCCTCCTACCTAAGAGCTGGCTAAAAAAAGGAACATGTATGGATAGGTGGTTAACCAGCAGACTGATGTTTTCCACCTCACACTGGCTAGCGCCTGAAGGGAAGATCGAATCCAGCAGGCAACTCTCTCTCTCTCTCTCTCTCTCGTGTAGGAAGCAGCTGAAGAGAACATACGGTAAGACAGAAACCAGAAACACCAAGCTGAAAACAAGAGCAATTTGCAAGTCAAAGAGGAATTGAAACACAGCAAGAGTCTACCGTCTCACTTCGAGTCTCACGTCAGCCTTTGTGGACTCTTCGCCCCTGCTCTCTGCACTTGTTGATGCATCGCTTGCCTGGTGTGCCGGTCGCTGCGTCCCGTCCGGTGACCGGTCCGGTACCGAGCTGCGAGATGCTGCGAGTCATGACGACGAACACGGAAATATGCGATCCGAAAGCCAGAAAAGCAGAACGAAAGCTCCGAATTGCCTCAAATATGGAGCCTCCCTACTGGTTCCACATGTGGGTTCCACGTGGTTCCACTCTTCCAAGCCATGTCGGAAGTGGGGAAAAACGTCGAAAACATGTTAACAAAATTAGCCCAGCTGGAGATCCCAATAGCAAGATACAAAGCGGGACAAACAAAATCTGGAAACAGCTGCTGTTGTCAACACATCGACCATCTCTTCCTGGGACATCACAACATGACCGGGAGCACCATCCGATCCGCAAGTGACGGTGACCCGATGGCGCCAGTTTTGCACGACCCCATAGCATGGCTATCCCAGACACGACACATGGGACTGCCATAGGACTGCCGATCAATTGACCCCCCTGGCAGGCGTCTGGCTCCAAGGCCTAGGCCTCAGGGAGTTCACGGGCCCCAGGACTGGGTGGTCGCGCATAGCGGAGTCCAGTGTCTAACAAGGGCACGACTCCTCGCGCCCACCCGGTTCTACTGACCGTTGGTTCATCCCGCGTCCTTTGGTAGTTAGTTCCATGGCTGCTTTCGCTTGGGGTCCGTCTCTGCGAGACCCGGATCTTGATCGCAAGCTGCAAGGTGTCTTCGACATGTTTGGAGAAGATACTTATGCGTGGGACATTGGATCTCGCAAGGTGGTGGCAGTTGAGATCATTTCCATCTCCCGAGACTGGATTGATGGCTTCCTCTGCCGTTTTCTGCCACGCGTTGGCCTTGACTGGCTCCAAGAAGATCGCAAAACTGCCAAGATTCGCATTTCAGGATTGGACCATAGGTATCCCCTACTTTGTGGAGGCGAGCGCATCCTTTGTGCTGGTATTGCGAAGACTGCGGATGTGGGAATGACAACGCTTGAATTTCATCCTGGTGTTTCTGTGGTTCATGTTCCAACCATGGCACCTGAACTACATTGGGCGATTTGTCACATGTTTGCTGGAGGATACGGAGGCTGGGCACAAGCTGCAGAGTGGCTGCAAGACTCCAATGCTGGGTTTGTCATTGACCGTCAGGTTTTCATTGATTGGGAGCCCCATGTCCCCATGTGACTCGCACGTGCAGCCTCAATCATGGAACCAATATTGACAAAGCCCCATTGGTACCGAGTGCAGACTTTGCTATCAAGCGGAAGATCATCGTCGAGGCTGCCATAGCTGACATGACTGCGCTTCATGCCATCCGTATGCCCTTCAACATGCTGGCCACGATTTCGCCCCCGTGCATATCCTGGTCACTTGGCGGCAAGGGTGGAGGTTTTGCCTCCATCCATGACATGGCTCTTGTAGATGCAATCGAGTTTCTCTTTGCAACTCAGCCCAATGCGGCCATGTTTGAGTGCGCTGATGCGATCAAATCACATCACCACTTTCCCGTGTTTGGAGCTCTCATGAACCATTTAGGGTATAAGCAAGCATGGGAACAGATCATTCCTTACCATCTCCTTGCCAATCACCACAGGAACCGATGGTTTTCGGTCTGGGTTCGACATGATGTTCAAGCCACTGCCGTTGACAATTTGTTCAGGTTGATGGTGCCACCCATCATTCCATGGAATGACTCCCGCTACCACTTCTCTTTGCCCCAACAAGTCATGCAGCAGCTTCGTTTATCACCAGAGCACATGCGAACATATGGTGATCTTCAGTTGTTGCCGCCAGCCAAAAGGTCCAGGGTTCAGTCCGCCGAATCAACTCTGCAGGTTGTTCGTGCCCGAATTCCCTCCCCAAGTGAACCACTTGCCACCCTCTGTTCGTCCTACACACAACAGCACTGCCTTGATCGCAATCACTTGGAAAGGAGAGGGATTTTTGCAAGCATCACGGAAGACAACAATCAGTTCGTGTTTCTTGACCCAGCCCGTTTCATTGCACTGTTCGGCACTGTCACCGATCTTGCTTTCCCTCTTGATGTTGCAAAAGCCTTCCAGCAAATCGGGAATGCCGTGAGTGTCCCTCAGGCTCTCTTGTGTTTCCTGGTCACGCTTGCATCGACCACTAGCCTGCAGATTCCGATTCAGGAGACCCTTCGTAAGTGCTGGCTGAGCAGGATTCATGCAGATACAACTGTTCTTGAGGTCATTGCTGACCATGTGTGGATTCGCAATATTGTGCAATTTGTGCATTCGTTGCCTAAGCCAATCTTTCATGTGCTCGCACCGAATGCCCAGGTCATCTTCCTTGATGAGAAGTTCCCGATCGAGATCGGTGCACATATGAGCTTTCGCGAGCTTGCTGCCATGCTCTTTCGTTTGCAGTTCCACCAAATGATGCAGATTCGTGTTGAGCATGTCTCATTGCACCCAACTCCAGTTGGTCTTGCTTTGCCTTTCATTGAACAGACGCAAGAGTTCGAGCTCTATCTTGGGGGGTATCAATTGTGCACTGTGCAGACATGGGACGGTTGTTCGAGCCATGTTGGCCCATCACCTGTCATTCCAACTCCACGTGCAGATCAGCTATGTCCGCAAGTCACGCAAGCTTTGTGTAAGCCTTTGAGCATCGAAGAACTGCGATTCATGCAAGTCATTGAAGCGCCCTTGAGAACTTGAACTGCATCACTCTTGCACCAAGCAGCACGTTCATCATTTGGGCTGAAAGAAACATGTGGGCCTTTACTCCATTTGATGGTCATGAGAGTCAATTCCCAGCACGCCTTCGTACTGCTTTCGAGGTTCCGATTCCGCCAGCCAAGATTGTCATCATCTCTTTGCACCAGAACTTTCGCTGGAGGCAGGGCATCAAAGGGTTCATCGTCAAGAACAGTGACACCACGCATCATGCTGGGAAATGTGTCTTGCAGGAGTCGCCCAATCCAGATGGGACCTCAGCCTTTGCTGTCACAGAGGCACGTGAAAGCTGGCCCTCAGGCACTTTGCACAATGGCCTCCCCATTCAGGTACCTTGCCAACCGCAGGATGGTGACATCTTCCTTGTCCCTCCTCAGTGCATTCGAGCCGGGGGTGTCCATGACATTTGCAAAAAGAGACAGGTCTTGCTGCCAGGTGCAACGTTCGCTGACCGATGCGAGTTTGCCTGCAACACAGAGGGTTGGTTAGCCACTGGTGAAGCATGGTTCCACATTGCCAGCCTTAATTGGATCACTCCCAACATCGCCTTCCTTGATCCGGTGTTCTGGGATAGCAGGGTCAACCATTTGACTCTCTCTGATGGCACATCCCTTGGATTTCCGAACAACACCATTTCGATCTTGCCTGTATTGGTCGACAACCATTGGTCACGGGTTGAAGTCATGCGTCTTGCCGATGTCATCCAGATTGTATTCGTGCAGGTCCCTGTCGAACTCCAGAGCAGACTCCAGAACGATCCTTGCAGGCATTTTCGATGTCATGCCGTCTAAGCTGAACATCACTGAAACTTGGCCAGAACAGCACTTCAATATGTGTGGATGGACACTTTTGCGTCGTTGGAGCACCTTGATTTCGGATGAGGAATGGCAAATTCCGGTTGATCTTTCCCAGATCACACCAACCAAACTGCAGTCGCTTCAACTAGCAATTGAAGCCAGTCAAGAGGATTGGAGAGCCGTTGGTATTGATCATACCTTTCTGCGTTTTGCCACTCAGCTGAGGCCTGGCTCACCTCGCTCGCACCACCACGAACCTCTCGTCAGCAGTAGCACAGCCGCTGTCGACAAATGTGCATTCGCTTGCAGCCAATCCAGAGACAAGGGCAACAACCATGACTGCCTTCTCCGGGGAGACTCCCCACTTCCTGTTTGACTACCTCAACCGTAGGCTTGAAGATTTCCGATGCGAGCCAACCTGGGCTGCCAGTGATGAGATCGACCATGCATTAGATGTTGCTCGCATCTATGCTTCGCACACCTTGATCGTTACGCCTCTGTGGGATCCGCAGTCAGCATCGTGCAAGTCCATCACAGGGGCACAGACCCCCCTTGTTGGGTTTACGGAGTTCATTGCTCCCCTTCGTGTCGGAAGCCATTGGGTGCAGTGTGACATTTTTCTTCATGGCCAATCTCTCTTTGTGCTTTTCGCCAACAGCTTGCCACTAGATGCCGAACCGCAGGAGATTGCATTGTATTTTGGCCGAATCATGTCCATCCACCCTGCAAATGTCACTTATGTCGTCCATGATGCCGACACCCCAGAAGGCATGTGTGGCTGGTCGCTTGTGAAACGTGTCTTTGACCGATTTCGAATTCCGATTCCCGAAGTCGCAATGCCACTCGTCGATGCATTGTCCAAATCCCAGTTTGGTCAGACCATCACGTCCATCTTAGACAATGCCAATGCGGCATGGGCTCTCAGTACTGAGGATGTATCCCTTCGGAAGCTTGCTTACGCTGTCAGGAACACATTCCTGCATCGCATTTTGCACAAGCCAGGCCCTCCTGAGTATCTCTCAGCAGGAACCACAGATGCACATGATGTTACGATGCAGCCAACCGCAACTGTTGGCCCTGTTGACCCTCTCACGGTCAATGACCCGTGGGCCAAAGCCCAGCATCAGGCTTCGAGATGGGAGGACCTGAAATTGCCAAGTGTGCATCCGTTCGTTGACACTGCTCAGAAGCCAGTGCCGCAGATTCATCGCCTACAGGCGTCCAAGAACAGAGGGGGAGTCATTTTAGCCCCAAAGGGTGGTGTTGCAGATGTTTTGAAGACCCAACCTCCTGCCCCTTCCATTGTCGTGATGCCGGCAGGCGATTCTTCGTCCTATGGTCCTTTGGCAGCGCGCATCCAAGGTCCTTTCGAGGTCGTCCTTGAAGATCCCAAACTTAAGACAAGCCATAAGAAGACTCGTTCAGTTCTTGCTCGTCGAAGGTGATGTTAAATTCTCACTTGCCAAGCCAACTTGCTCTTTCACAACGCCACTTGTATCCGAGCTCGTTCTTGAA